GTTACAAACACAATCTAAAGGTTCTTTTCTATTTCTCCTTCTTTTTCTTCCTCCTTCATTCTTTATATATTAGGTATCAAATTCTGTACTTTTTGTCTATCCCTTGATTGACTTTGGGGATAGTCAATTTAATTTTGCATTTGCCTTGCAATCAGCTGCTCCACCCTCCGTACCATGGTTTTACTACCTCTGGTGACAGCTATCCAACCCTAGGAACACTTCCATCTATAGCAGTCCCTCCAAAATAGACTGCAGAGATGGTTTGTGGGAGGTAAACTCTCTCAGCTTTTGCTTATCTGAAAATTGTTTAATCCCTCCTTCAAATTTAAATGATCATCTTGCCAGATAAAGTAATCTTGTTTCCATGCCCTTCTGCTTCATGGCATTAAATACATCATGCCCCTCCCTTCTGGCCTGTAAGGTTTCTGTGAAGAAGTCTGGTGTTAGCCTGATGGGCTTTCCTTTGTATGTGATCTTATTTCTGTCTCTGGCTGCTCTTAGCAGTCTTTCCTTATCCTTGATCTTTCCCATTTTAATTACTATGTGTCTTGGTGTTGTCTTCCTTGGGTCCCTTGTGTTGGGAGATCTGTGGATATCCATGGCCTGAGAGACTATCTCCTTCCCCAGATTGGAGAAGTTTTCAGCAACTACCTCATCAAAAACACTTTCTATCCCTTTCTCTCTCTCTTCTTCTGGTTTCCCTATAATGTGAATATTGTTCCGCTTGGAAAATATTCCCAGATTTGGATTGGTCACACAGTTCTCTCAATATTCTTTCATTTTTAGAGATCCTTTTTTCTCTCTGTGCCTCAGCTCCTTTGTATTCCTCTTCTCTAGTTTCTATTTCATTTATTGTCTCCTCCACTGAATCCAACCTGCTTTTAATACCCTCCATCGTGTTCTTCAATGATTGGATCTCCGACCTGAATTCATTCCTGAGTTCTTGGATGTCTTTCCGTACCTCCATTAGAATGTTGATGATTTTTATTTTGAACTCCCTTTCAGGAAGAGTCATGAGGTCCATATCATTTAAATCTTTCTCTGGAGTTGTATTAATAATTTTACTCTGGGCAAAGTTCCTTTGATGTTTCATGTTTGTATATGGTGCCCTCTAGTGTCCAGAAGCTCTATTCTGGAGCTGCTCAGCCCCTGAAGCAATGTTGGGGGTTGCAGGAGAGCGGTACTGGTGCCTTGGGGGAGGAAAGAGCTGTTCCCGCCTCCTGGCTGCTGTGCCTGTCTCCACTGCCTGAGCCAGTGGGCTGGTCACACAGGTATGTTTTTGTCCCAGAGCAGCCGGATATGGATCCCTGCTTTCCACAAGCAGCCGGAATCCCAGTCTCCCCAGGAACTCTGCTTGTATTAACTTTCAAACCCAGTAGTCATGCGATTCTCATGAAAGCACCATGAAATGTAGGTTTGTGCTCCCAGAGCAGATCTCCGGAGCTAGGTATTCAGCAGTCCCAAGCCTTCCACTCCCTCCCTGCTCTGTTTCTCTTCCTCCTGCTGGTGAGCTGGGGTGGGAGAGGGGCTCCGGTCTGGTGGAGCCACAGCTCTGGTATGTTACCCTGTTCAGTGAGGTCTGCTCTTTTCTCCAGGTGTGTGCAGTCTGACACCGTCCTCTTTCCTGTTCTCTCTCAGGATTAGTTGCGCCAATTAAATTTTCTAATTGTATCCAGTTTTAGGAGGAAGCCTTTGTCTCTCCTCTCACGCTGCCATCTTTAATCCCTCTCTGATTCTATGAATTTTTAATAGAACTATCTTTGGGTTCAAATTCAAGCTCCAATCATAGCTTACTGGTATCACTTTGAATGAATTCCTTAATCTCTGTATCTCAGTTTTTTTAATCTGACAATTGAAACTATTAATATTTACCCTGCTAGTATGCTTCCTGTAAGAATTAAATAGGATGTATGTGAAGTCTCATAGAAGAAATATAAAGTAGTGTGCAAATCAAAGATTATTGATCTTTCTGTATGACTTTAGTCAGGCAGCACCTGCCTTGTCTCTTACCCTCTGTTATCCTTTACACATGACATCAGCAAGTGATCAAGAAGGCTAAGCAGATTTTACACAAACACAGTTAAGGCATTTCTGTAAATCAGTTGGAATCACAATCCAGTCTGCTTAAGACCTATACCCATCCCTGTAGTCTTTAGAAGATCATAACCTATAAGGGCAACAATATACTTTAAAACTTACTTAAAAGTTAAGTGTGCAAAAGTTATAATCCAGAGTACATGAACGGATTATAAATTTATCTCAGAGTCCAAGAATAAGGGCAGAATAAAATCTGGTTGCTAGATTATAGCTTTTTTAAGGATATGTTAAATATTCAGAAAAAAACAGTAACATTATAGTTCTTCTCTTTCTTTAAATTTAGATAATAAATAAACATCATTATATATCTTCTCATTTGATATAGTAGTATTTTAAAGCAATAAAAACAAAAGAGGAGATACGTGCCATGTTAAAATATTCCCAGATTAGGAAATTTAGAATTGAAATCTCTGAAAGAAAAACACAGATATCTTCTTCATGATTTTAAAATGGTATTTAAAAATTTCAGCTGTGTGTTATACTTTGTTACAGAGTACAATAAAATGAAATATGATCTTTTAAAACATCATAAAGTTGGCTCTTTAAATATCATATGGTATAACCCCACTAGCAAGCATAGCTTTTTTTTTGTTTTCCTAGAGTGTTCATCTGAAAGGAGTTTTACTTTCTCTAGTAAATGAATAGTCATTTTCTGAAAATGACCTTCCACAAAAGCTCCTGATTGAAAGCCATGGTGAAGAAAGCATTTCTTTCTGCAGTGGTAGCTCATAATCCTTCTGTCTGTATGACATTTCTGTTAAACAGGCCAAAGTTTTTGTAAATAACTTATCTACAGTATGTGAGAAAGTTTGGACTTTGGGACTCCATCAGACGTTCTTGTTAATGCTAATAATTGGAAGATGGCTTCTTCCCATTGGAGGCGGGATCACTCGGGACCAACTCTCTCAACTTCTCCTTATGTTTGTGGGGACAGCTGCTGACATACTGGAATTCACAAGTGAGACCCTGGAAGAACAAAACGTGAGGTAAGAAGGCCCTGTGATGAGATGACCTTCTTTTCAGGCCCACACATTTGTCTCTTCATTCTATCATTAATATTCTGCATGAATAAGGATATTTCTGTATATCAGATGTCCAGTGGTAGAATCATGGAATTTTCTGTTCAGCTAGATATTAGGTACCATCCCCCAGTGTGTCTGTAATTATATGTCTATGTATAAATGTATAGAGAGAGAGACAGATGCATATAGGAAGCTCCTGCTAGAGAAAGGAGGCAAATGCTACTGCCTATGGGTGAGATAGAAGAGTAAAGCTCTACAAGTCTGTATGACCAGAGAGAGGTGGGGGGTCATATTATCTGAAAACCTTCTGGAGGTGGAATGACCATCCCTAGCTCCTCCTTCACCTTTCGCATTCTCAAGTGTCCAGGAAGGTGGGCAATCATAAGGTTCTCTTCTAGAGCAGAACCTCGCTACAAGTCCAGAAAAGCACCGAGAGGACACATGGAGAAATCTCTCTCCTACACAGTTGGTGAATTTCTATCCCCTGGTGTGAATGGAGAAGAGGGTAGATTAGGTTTTATCTTACTAAATTTTATTTTTAGTCAGTTTCGTTCAAAGTGCCCAAAGGCTTTCTGGTATAGATGCTTATAAATTAAAACTTATTGAGTTGGTACTTTTCTTTTTGCCACAAGCAAATAAACTCAGCATCCATGATCACATCCGTTTATGGAACTACTAGCTCACCTTCAGGGATTTCAGTCTCGGCGCCTGGATGTACTTTCAGCTAGGGTTGTTTTGCACTAGGCTATAAAAATAAATTGCAATGAGTCTGGCTTTTAATGCTACAGTTTACTTTATGCTGTGTTTCTCAAACAATGAAATGTAAAGTTGAGCAAAATACATTGACTTACTGAGTTAACTTACTATCCCAATAACAGCACAAAGTATATCTATAACCATAGGCTACTTGACATGATCATTTCCTATTTCATTTATACTAATTTTTCTTATACCTTATTCAATAATCAGAATTTTGAGAAGAATCCTGTATAAACTGATCATTGTCCTCAAAATGTTGACTTTAATTCTGTGTCTTTAATACCTTAAATTTGGTCAATGCTTTACACTATAAATTTTCAGACACTGTTGAACACTTTTAACACAATGGGGTTACAAGAAAAACATGAAGAAATCATGACCAAACTCATAAAAACAATAAATAACTACAGGCACAATGACAGGAACATGAGAAAAAAAAGATGGGTAATTACACCTAGATAGAAATAAGTACATACATGCTAGTATCTAGGGAGATGGAAGGAATGAAGGGTAGGAAATGGACTATTCAGGAGGGATATGTTTTGGGAGGCTGGTAATAAATATGTGAGAAATGCCAAACTCAGCTATCTTAAAAGTCTGTTTATTGTGCCCATCCACAGTGACACCAAGGGGCATTTTTTAGATCAGTGTTTGCCAACAAGTGTTGAATATTGAATAAGTCAATGATTAAAATCTTAATGTTTCAGTAAAACAAAACCTTGAAAAATCACAAGATATTCATTCATTCACTATCTACTGATTAATTATCTAATATGTGGCAGGCCAGGTGCTAGGTGGACGTTGGGGAGCAAATGGTGAGCAACTGATAAGAGAAAAGACACACAGTCCTATCCTGATCCAGCTAATTTCAGTTCAGTAATTTCTTCTGCCACCTACATATTAATGTGAAAGTTTCATAAATCTTTTTTCTCTTATTTAAAACTTATATCATGTCCCAAGAATGGGTTTGGTTAAATTATGACATAGTTGTTATTTTTAAATATCTTTACAGGTTTCATGGTCTCAGACTGAAGTAATTTTATTTTAGTATAACTTCATTGTGTCAGTGACCCAGTGACTTTCTGTACATAGTTTCTGCTCCACTCTTGTGTGTCTGTATCACATTCAGGACTCAAAATCAAGGCCCAGAAAGAACCTAGAATTATTTCTCCCTTCTCAAATCCACCTCCCAAGTTCTGATTTTGTCTCTGGTCCCATCTAGTCTGCAAGAATTGACACTTCAAATGTCTGTCCCTTTTTTGGCCTCAAAAAGAAAATCATGAAGAATAAATTTAATATATGTGTAAAGGACAAAGGGTATTACTTCATTATAACCTACTTAGCACTGCCTATTATTACAGCATTTTATTTTTTCTTTGATTTTAGTCCATAATTTCAGTTGACCGATTTAGGAAAAAGTCGGCAATCATGTCTACATCTCAATGATGTCTACCTCTTTTTCCTCAAATATTTTTAAATCAACTTCATTCTGTATGCAGTTCATCTGTCTAATTCTTATGAATTTACATGGACTGGTGAGATACTGAAAATTTTTCTTAGCAGCTTGACTTGACACACCATGAAATTCAACTATTGTAATTCTACAGTTCAATGATATTTAACAAATTTTTAGTGTTGTGTAACCATCACCAGAATCCAGATTCCCTGAGGCTGTTTGCAGTCAATTCTCACTCCCACTGCCATCCCTAAGCAACTACCGATAAGATTTCTGCCTCTAGGTTTTCCTTTTCAATATATTTCATGTAAATGGGATCATAAAATGTGTAGTCTTTTGTGTCTGGCCTTTTCACTTAGCATAATGTTTTTGGGGTTCATTCACATTATTGAAGGTATTAGTAGTTAGCTCATTTTGATTTGCTGAACAGTATTCCATGTATATACCACATTTTATTTATCCATTCAGTAATTGATACAGGCGTGTACTGATATTTTCTTGCTATTAAGAATGATATTGCTGAGACAGTACTCCAAAGAAGAAATTCAGAAGGCCAACAGACACATGAAAAGATGCTCCACATCACTAATCATTAGGGAAATGCAAATCAAAACCACAATGAGATATCACCTCACACCAATAAGGATCTCCAGCATTGAAAAGACTAAGAACAACAAATCCTGGTGTGGATGCGGAGAAAGGGGAACCCTCCTACACTGCTGGTGGGAGTGTAAGCTAGTTCAACCATTGTGGAAAGCAATATGGAGGTTCCTCAAAAAACTAAAAACAGAAATACCATTTGACCCAGGAATCCCACTCCTTGGAATTTACCCAAAGAATACAAGTTCTCAGATTCAAAAAGACATATGAACCCCTATGTTTATCGCAGCACTTTTTACAATAGCCAAGATACGGAAGCAACCTAAGTGTCCATCAGTAGATGAATGGATAAAGAAGAGGTGGTACATATACACAATGGAATACTATTCGGCCATAAGAAATAAACAAATCCTCCCATTTGCAACAACGTGGATGGAGCTGGAGGACCTTATGCTCAGTGAAATAAGCCAGGTGGAGAAAGACAAATGCCAAATGATTTCCCTCATTTGTGGAATATAACAATGAAGAAAAACTGAAGGAACAAAATAGGAGCAGACTCAGAGACTCCAAGAATGAACCTAGTGGTTCATAGTGACTATGCACATAGTGGATCAGTGGCATCTTACTACACTGATGGATAGTGACTGCATTGGGGTATGGGTGGGGACTTGATAATATCGGTAAATGTAGTAACCACATTATTTTTCATGTGAAACTTTCATAAGAGTGTATATCAATCATACCTTAATTTAAAAAAGAAAAAAAAAGAATGATATTGCTATAACATACACTTACAGTCCTTTGTATGGATGTTTCATTTCTCTTGGGTAAATACCTAGGACTAAAATGACTGGGTTTTATATTAAGTACATGTTTAATTTTTTTAAGAAACTGCCAAACTGCTTTCCAAACTGGCTTTACCTTCTTATATTCCATTTTCTCCATAGCCTTACCAACACTTTTTTTCAGTCTTTTTGATGATAACCATTCTAGTGGGTTCATAGCAGTATCATATTGTGGTTTTAATTCACATTCCCTAATGAGTGATGAATAATGATGTTGAACATTGTTCCATGTACTGATTCATTTATTTTCTTTGGTGAACTGTCTGCTCAAATTTTTGCCTATTTTTTGTTGGATTGATTTTTTTATTACTGAGTTGTAAGAGTTCTTTATATATTCTGGACACAAATCCTTTATCAGATACATAAATGTAAATGTTTACTCCCAGTACACAGTTTTTCTTTCATTTTTTGTCATTTGAGGAACAACTTTTTAAAATTTTTGCTGAAGTCCTATGTATCAATTTTTTCTTTTATGTACTGCTTTGGGTGTCATATCTAAGAAATATTTTCCTAACCTAAAATTACAAATATTTTTCTCTGTAATATTTTAAGTTAATTTTTGTGTACTGTGAGGTAATGGTCTAAGTTTGTGTTTTGTCTTGTATTGTTTTGTTTTTGTGGCATTGTCCCAGCACTGTTTTGTGTCCCAGTTGGAACCTATTGAGTCAGCACCATTTGTTGAAAGACTTCTTTCTCTATTTGATTGCCTTGGCATCTTAGTCAAAAATCAATTGACTCAATATGGAAGGGTGTTTTGGACTTTCTATTGTGCTATATTGCTCTATATCACTATCCTATGACAGTATAACACTATTGTGATTACTGGAGTTTTATGGTAAGTTTTGAAACTGGATACTGTTAGTGCTTAACAGTGTTCTTTTTCAAAAAATATTTTGGCTATTCTAGGTTCTTAGTATTTCCATATAGCTTTATGATCCGCTTCTCAAATTCTATTTTTAAAATCCTGGTTTGATATGGATTATATTAAATCTAAGCATCAATTTGTGAAAAAATGGCATCCTAATATTAAGTCTTCCAGTCTGTGAACATGAACTATTTCATCATTTATTCAGATATTTCTTAATTTCTTTCAGTAATTTTCAATGTATAAGACTTGCACTGGTTTTCCTAAATTTATTCCTAATTATTTTTTTCTTTTTAATGAAATTATTTCCTCATTTTCTTACCTAATATCATTTTTATGCTTTTTATTGCTACTGTAGAAATACAGTTGACTTTGTTATGATAATTATGTACCCAGCAACCAAGCTAAACTTGCCTATTAGGTTTGTAGATTCCTTAGG